CTAAACCCTAAGCACCCAAAATCGTAAGCCCCAAACCACAACATCCCTATTATATTGCCGATGAGCCTCCCGTCCACGTAGGGGCACCACGACTCTTAGACCCCATCGTCTTGAGAACCTCAGGGTGTAGGAGAAGCCTGGCGATGGGTGTTAGGGGACAACTACGTCGTTTCCTGGAGTCTCTTGGAGTGTTCAAGTAGCTTCAGCGATTCCCCAGCATATCTTCGTATCGCATCCCGCAAGACCTTCTGCGAATGCAATCAATCTTCACGGCTTGTCTGCGTGATGCTCAGTTTTGTCGTACCGGTTGATTTCATGATGTGTAGCTTGGATCTTTGCTTGAAAAGCTTATGGTGCCTGAATACTCCTTCAATTACTCTGATTTTTGGACGAGCGAGGCCGTCAGCAACCAGTATTCGTGCATTCCGCAGCTGTGCCACCGATCGTAGCAGAGTGGAAAACTATAGAGCCCGAGTCCAGGGCTGATTCACTTCACGCAGCCATGCCAGCGATGACTGAGATAACGAAGGGCTTAACTGTGCAGAAGCTGCTGTCGGATGTGCAGCCAGACAGCAAGCGAGCGGATATGTCTAAGATCGTGGCCATGTTCAAGAAGCACTCCAAGGAAATCCACGTTTATGGAGGGAGCATTATCGGAGCTGGTAAGATGCTCTACCAGAGCAAGAGCCAGAAGCCCTACAACTGGCTCCAGTGTGGTGTGGCTGCCCGAGCCAGCAATATCACCATGTATTTTGGGTGCATCTTCAAGCTTACCGATAAGGAGGTTAAGAAAATCGGGCCAAAGTGCACGCACGGCGTCGGCTGCCTCCACTTCAAGAGCCTCGAGGAGGTTGGAGTAGCCGAGTAGCCTGAAGCCAAGAGTTCACCCTGTCAACGCTTTGAAGTTACCTATAGTCTCCATTGTAGTTCCATTTTTTGGTTTAACCAATTCTATATTAAGGATCCCAAGGACTACAATGGAGACTATAGGTAATCATGGGCTGATACCCAAAAGGGGTCAATACTTCAAGGTTCAGTTCTAAGGCGTCGAGTTCTCTGAACCCCCTGAGGTGAACGTGTCTGCACTCGAAGCCCTGATGAAGCGTGCTTTCGCAGTCAAGGAGGGAAGCCGGGCACAGACCGAGGGATACCCTTAGCTCTGATATCCAGAAACACAGAGGCCCGACGAGTTTATTCCGGTTCCTGTAGCAAGGATCCTCAGCTACAAGATCTTTGGGTCCCGAGACACAGCAGACATGTGCCAGAGACATCGAACCTTTGGGTCGGAGAGTTTGGGTTCCCCAGTCGCTCCGTATTGTAACACCACTGCAATATACCGATACCCCAAAAGTCTATTCCCCTACTAAGCTCGTCTCACCATGAAAAAAAGGCCCCCAGATCTCAAACCCTTGCAGTAAGTTTCCAGGAGTTTATTGCGCCTGGGGCCAAGGCCCCCGCGACTCAAAAGCGGCCCGCGAGCAACGTCATGAAGACGCAGCTGAAGACGAAGAAGTGATCTGTGGGTTCTAAAGTAGCTATGCTTCGGGGTGTGTTATTGTGGTATAATTGCCCTAAGCAGTGGTATTCATGATTATTCAGGCTTCCTTAGTAGGCGGTTAGGGCAGCCACGATGCCGGAGTTGTTTGTTTGCAAGAGACATATCGGTCAAACGGACATTTCTGATTTGATGCAGCCGTCCTTCAAAGAGAGGAAGGCCGCCAACCGGATCCGGTTCATCGATTTCGAAGGCTTGGGCCCCTGTTGTCCAGACCGATGGATACGAGCCCTTTTAAGTTTCCTGCTGAAGCGGCGGAAAATGCTGGATCAAAAGCTCCCCGAAACACTCACATCCATGATTTTGGAAGCGCACACTACCAATGACGAAACTGCGGCTTGCGGCAAAGCCCTGGCAGGTGTTCGCATCCTCAGACGATGACCCAGAGCCCTACAACCTGCACCAAACTCAGAGCCGGTACAGAGTTCTCCACATTGCCGTGTTCTGGGTTTGTGCCGGGGCGACTCACGGCGATGGCTACCGGCTACCACACCACCAACATGAACAACACAAGCACTGCCGCAACTGCCCACGCGTTTTTTTTTCTGTGTTGTCTCGTTTTCTTCTTCTACGTCTTCCTTTCGCGGTTTCTCGCGGTCAGTCGTTGGCTTGGCGCCTGATTTGATTGGGCTGTGGCAGTGCCACTCTTGTTTCTGTTGCTGGTGATGGAGGTGCGATGCTTGCTGTCATCGCTGGTTGTTGTCGTCTCGTTGTAACTAGTGGCCGTTTGACCCGGTTGAAGATCAGCTCCCTAAACGTTCGCTTCGGCTTGTCCGGGACATGTGACTCAGGAAGGCAGATGTGTTTTCCTTTGGCATCCTGATGTACGAGGCCATGCAAGAAGCCTGGATTCTAGAGTGTGGGGTTCGGATTTGCAGGATTTAGGGTGCTTCTGGCTTGGGCCTCCGAAGGAACGGAGTTCACAACAGTGGTTGCTGTTGCAACAGGAGCTTCGAATAGCTTCGGCCAAACCAACCAAGCCCAAAGCAGGTGATGGAGCGCCAACTGCCTTACAGCGAACGCTTCGGGTCTCGTTCTCGGCTACAGAGTCCTTTGAACCGACGTGGCGGCTTTGTAGTTTCACGCCAACGGGGTGTTATTAGGGGCTATAGGCATGGGGTGCTCTAACTGTTTGTGTCCAGAGATTCTTGTAGCGTTGTCTTTTTCATGGGGTTGTAGGGTTTTATCGGGTTTCTCAGGGTTTTGTTGGGTTTCAGTGGGCTTTGTGCGCGTTTCTAGCAGAGTTTCAACTGCCTTTGGATTTCCAGTGAATTGCGAACTGGGGCTTCGGGGGCTTAGAGTCTGCAGACTTCGTGTTCAGGGTGCAGGATTTCGGGCTTAGGGTATAGGTTCGGGGTATCCAACGCTAGGGTTGAGGGCTTGGAGTTTAGGGACCTGACATGCCACACTAGGGGACTCGAGGCTTGAGACTTTGGGGCTTAGGGGGCGCTCGGGGGTTCACTTCGATTTGTGTTCACGTTTTTGGGGGGTTCAGTCGCTGAGATCTTGAGCCTCTTCGAGTTTCGGAGGGTTGGGAAAAGTGCGAGCCCCCGAGTCGAACGTTTGTGGAGAGCCTGTCGGACGTCGTAGGTTTAGTGCTTCGAACCTAGGCTTCGAGGGGTCGGCGCAGGTTTGGAGTAGGTTTTGCTGAAGATACTTCACCGTGATGCGCCAAAGGGAAGAAATGAGAGGATCGTGCGGGTAAGATCCTGCCAGGCTCTCGCCGTACTTGCTGCTATTTCGTCAAATAGCAACAGATTGGTAAGATGCATCTCCCACCCACTACAGCCACAGCTTGTTCCATGAGAGATGTCCCATCTGTGCCACAGCCCTAAATTCCTAAATGCTCCTATAGAGCCCGAAATCTCAAACCGCCTTGAACCCGAATCCCTGATCTTGAAACCCTAAACCCTGAGCGCCCCTTTCTGATCCCCAACCCAGGGCTACCAAGACTCGTGCCATAAACCCGCCTTCAAAAGTTGAGATGATGGCAAGGAACGACGTATCGGATCCTCGGATCAGCCTTCATGCCGTCAGCTCGGCCTGGCAGATTAGGGCTTCAAATGGTTTTCATTAGGGCATATACTCTAGGGAGTTTTGCGGGTCTAGTGGAGCTTGGGATTCAGGGTCTTGCCGGGGTATTGAATGTCTGGTGTTTCAGCTGCATGGGTTGGGGTTTGAGGTAGGGGGCTTAGGGTTCAGGGATGGGTTTGGCGATTAATTAGGTGCCTTTTTTCGAATGAATCTACGAAACCTGTGTTTCAAAGCCGCTATAGGTTAGGGCTTTCAAAGCCGCTTTGGTATAGGAGTATAGGGTTTGTCTAACATGCCGAGGTTCTCGGACATTATTCGGGTTCGCATTTTTTTTCTTTTTCAGGTCCTGGGTCTACGGATTAGGGTAGAATCAATTTGAAGCTTGCTCTTTGCTGACATCTGGCGTTTACGTCGGGAGCACGAAGCAAACCCTCTACCCTAAACCCTAAACCCTAAGCCCTAAACCCCGTCAGCCAACTGTTAAAGCGCTGCACCCAACCCCTTCCCTCGAACGGTAAACTCACCGTTCCAGTCGAAATCCCAGTCCCCGAGGCCAGGGCCATGTAGTGGTTTAGGAGTTTAGGGTTTAGTAGGGTTTAGTAGGGTTTAGTAGGGTTTAGGGTTTAGGGCGAAAGGCGAAAGCATGGATATCGACATGCTATAACTCTTCGGGGGAGCATTTACTCAAGTTAGTGGCACCCGAGCATCCTGATTATCATGTTGTTGCTTGAGTCCAATCTTTGAACCTAGACCGCATGTTGAAAGGCCCTGAAATCCTGAAGCAGAAACCACGATTTTGCAAAGTGACGTGCTCAGTTTGATTTTGCTTCCCAGTAATGGTTTAGTGTCGTCAAAAACCACACGGACATAAACTATTCAAGCTTGCTCTCTTGCAGGGAGATTGCCTTAATCAGTTCATGTTTACTTGCTCTTTCGGGGCTCCCAATCATGTCTGTCATTCTGCCAATATAGTCCCCAACGTCAAAGCCTACATCAACAACTCTTTCCTCCAAGCCCTCAGCCCGCATTGCCTAAAGCTGACAACCCGAAGCATCCACGACCGTGAACCAAGCCAGACCCCCACCCACATCCCAAACCCCGGTAAAACCCCAGGCCCGGAATTTCCCCCCAAACCCCAACACCCTAAAACCCCACGAGGACCCTTACAAGACACCCCCCCCCCCCAACAAAAAAAGCAAGGTTTGCATGGGCCTGCGCCCAGAAGTTCGCAGCTCAACTTCGGAAGACTCGCCAGAAGTCCGGGAGGCGGCAGTGCAGGGCTTGGGGTTCTAACCTGCAGCCGTTCCGAGGTAGGGTTGATGATGTAAATCCTGCATTACCCATAGTAAGGATTCTACCATAATTCCCATAGTTTAGGATCCTTAAGGTAATGCAGGATTTCTATCATCAACAGTAGTATACCTACCCCCTGTAGGGCACTAGATGATCCCAAAGGTTCACTTTGACTTCGCTTAAGAAGCTGGGGACAGTAGAGTATAGGGTTCAGCTAGGTTCCAGAATCGAGTCCCCACCAAAGGGCTGACCTCTGACAGAGATGTCCAAGCTCCACCCTGGGCCTGCTAAGACAAGTCGAAAGTTATGATCATCCCGGTATCATCCCGATGAGTCTTTTGTTTACTTGTTTGTCTTGCTCGTTTTGCGTTTTGCAGCTTGTGCTGCCACTACGGCTGCTGCGAGTGGTTTGGATTCTCTTGTCCGATTCGATTATGCATGTTACACCCGACAGTTGCTGCCTGGAAGAGCCGTAAACCCCGAGGTCCGGGAAACCTAAACCAACCCCCCAACGTTAGAGGCCATCCGCAACCTGATGCAGCGCGCATGGCACAACGAGCCAGACGACCGGCCGAGCTTTCCGGAGCGGCCCTTGCTATTGTTCAGGGGTCTACGGGAATGTCGACCCCTGGTGAATAGCCCCGATAGCTGAAAAGGGACGGTACTGGGGATCCGAATATCTGCACATGAAGGCCGGGGTTGTGTATCAGGGGTTGTGCATGAACCCGAAAGGGACCTTCATACGGTTGATGATATAAATCCTGCATGACCTCAAGGACCCTAAACTATGGGAATGATGGTATATTCCTTATTATGGGTAATGCAGATTTGTATCATCAACTGTAGCACCAGGAGTTTTGGCACCGCATTGAAAGAGGGCTAGAGTCTGGAGCAGTGGAGCCTCGTCTTTACGATTCCTCAGCCCCCCAACCCCCAAACCTCCCCTGCAAAGCCCAAGCCCTAAACTCTGAAAGCCGGGGGAGGGTTATCTCATGCCCCTGTAGCGAGCCCACAAAAAAAGACTCTGAAAACCCTTGTACTTACAAACTGAACCGAATTCCGCCCTGGAAAGCCCTCACTTTTTTCGCCAACAAAGAGAAAGCACGTTAAGCCCTAAGCCCTCAAACCTACTCCCCTAAACCCCTAAACCCCTAAAGCCTAAAACCCTAAAACCCTAAAGCCCTAAAGCCCAAAGCCCTAAACCCTAAAACCCTAAACCATAGCCACAACAAAAAAGAACGCCCAAAGAGGAGCTCGAGGAGGTCCTCAAGGGCCAGTGGGAGGCTTTGGGCGGCGCAAGGCTGCCCCTCTCGGAGTTTTAGGGTTTTAGGGGGTTTAGGGTTTAGGGTTTTAGGGTTTTAGGAGGTTTACGGTTTAGGGTTTAGGGCTTTAGGGTTTTAGGGGGTTTAGGGTTCCTAAACCCTATAAACTCGACCGGAGATTGTGGCTTAGAGGGGCTTCTGTTAGGGTTTGGATGTGGCAGGGCTTATGGGGCTCGAGGGTATGTTGGGTTGAGAGATTTAAGATCCTACTCCTTTTGTTTACTGTAGGGCCTTCAGGGCCCTTGGGGTTCTCTCTGCATTTTACATCGAGCCCTACTGACTAGTACCCTTACTAGTACCCTTGTGGTACGGCCTCCTCGTGTACGAACCTCGTGCAACACCCGTGCTAGACGTTCTCAAGGCTTCCAGCGTTTTGAAGTCCCAAACCCTGAACCCTAAACCCTGAACCCGAAACGGGGCTGCTCAACCGGGTGTGGCTCCCCAAGGGACCTTGCACTATCCATATTCCGTCGTCTACGACAGGGTGAACTCCACTTGGGTGGAAGGAAACCAAAGTTTTGACCGCGCCTCCTGGTTCGAGGGAGGACCGGTCGCTGCATTCACAGAATTCGACCAGGGCAATGACTACGTACCTACAGAGATCCGCGGTGCACAGACCATGCGGCTGCCCTCACCTACGCAGAGTAGGCAGCGCAACTCGACTCTCAAGAACCACGAAAGTGGAGAAACTCAGCCTCCAAAGCTAGCAAGTCTGATTCAGCCCTCAAACCCAACCAGTCCAACCACAAAAGTGGACCCAAGTCAAGTTTAACCACAGCAGGAGTGGAGAAGTTCAGCCTCCAACCCAACAAGTCTAACCAATTCACCCCCCAAGGTCAACAAGTCTAACCACAGAAGTGGAGAAATTCAGCATCCAAACCCAATAAGTCCAACCGCAAAAGTTGCCAGTAAAATTCTGCCTCCAAAGCCAGGTCGAACCCCAACCATACCACCAGAGCCCCTACACTCTACACACATTCCCGAGATCACATGCAACACCATAGAAAATAGAACTGACTGTTCAGAATCTAGAATCAATAGGGTGCCCAATCTCCGGTACGACTAGCACCACTCTGGGAAACATCATCGTTATCATTGTTCGTGTAAAGATTTCGTTTTATCATGACATGTCCAGTGCCGTTTTTATTGCAATGATTGTTGTTATCATGATTGCCACGTTCGCCCATTTTTATCGTATCGCCGCCACGCCACCACCATCACCGTTATGCCATCATCATCATCATCATCATAATCTTCATCTTCTTCTTGTTTTTCATATCCATCATCGTCACCACGTCATTAGCGTCCTCGTCATCTTCATCGTCATCACCAAAATCAATTCCGCCAAAAAAACGTGCTCGAACCAGCGTCAATGTCAGGATGTGGACGAAGAAGAGCATCTCATCCAGGAACTGCTTTCCGACAAGCTCTCCAGCCCTGGTATGGTGTTGCGACTGGTGGCCGCTATGGCCATGGAACACCTCGACGAGGGAGAGTGCTTCGTTGAAGGATGCCTTTTGTTTTGCCACTTTCGCTCCTGTTGCGAGTTCAGGTGTGTTTTATGTGAGCCTTTGATGCCCGCGGCCGGGGGACGCGGTTAATGCACAGGCTTTTGAGGTTCAGGCAGGCGACTGTGTGCCGGAAAGTTGCCGGTGACTGACAGTGGGCGAGTGTACCGGAATTAAAGTTTGGCAGGACAGTGGTTCAAGGACTTTGTCCGGTGGACCCTTCAAGGCGACTTTTCTGAAAGTCGCGTCCAACTCACTTTCAACGAGTTTGGACACGTCCTGGGCTGCGCAGTGTGGTGCCCGAAGGAAGGAGGCAACCTCAAGCTCCTTTCGGCTTGCAGTCGCAAGGGTGCTGGGGCTGCCCGGGACCACGTGGCCGGTCTCCAGGACAGATGCAGCAGAGTGGCTAAGCAACGGTAACTATACACCACATGCTCTACCCAGTGTATTGCTCATCGTGCCCCCGCATGCAAGCCACCCAGGCAAACGATCACTAGTACTCGTAGTTCTATTTTTTGCTTTAACGTTGGATGGACGTGTGCATTCGAGTCGGATGTTAATGAATAGCCATGTACTGTGTCGAGGACCGACGTGACCCGCACTCCCCCGGTGGAACAGGACTGATCAGGCACAAGAGGAAGTCCCCCGCCAGGCCGTGATGGTCCTGATCTCAACACGGCTATCCGAAGAGGAATGCCAAGGCGCGGCTGGAGGCCGAAGCAGCCGTGTTTGCGCCGTCCACAACGGAGCTGCGGCTCTCTGGTCATGCGGCGAGGGGAAAGAACACATGCCCAATAACCCGCCGAGGCCGGAGGCCGGGGCGTCTAGATAGGCTTCATGGAATCATGTAATTTTTGTGGCTATTTGCAGGTCCTCGCATGTAGGTCGGGTAAGGAAAGTGTACTACCAAAAAAGAAATATCAACAAAACTGCTGCTTGAGCCTTCCGCTTTTCTTTTTTGCACCAGGTTTACTCCATCATGGTCATCGTCCTCCTCGTGAGGCCTGTCCGTTGAAGCCCTCGGCCGACTGCGACCTGCATCTTCTCCCCTGGTAGGTGACCTGGATCTGCTGAGGGCACGTCTTTCTTGCTCCTCCCTCCAGTAGTGGTCAGCCGGTAGGATGGGGCGGAGTCCCAGAACAATCAGGTGCCTCTCACATGCCCTTTTCATCATCGTCTGCGGGCATTTGTTCCAATACCAAAGGTTTCTCAAGACCCTGACCACTAGCATAGTCGTCCAGCTCCCGTCTGCCAAGGGGCCTCACTGGTCGCCCCTGCTCCGGCTGCCCCACTTGGCTGTCACCATACGCAGTAAGCCCTCGCAAGACGCAATTGAGTTGCGCCTCAGCGTCGGCCACGAAGGTGGGCCCGCGAAAGCACCTCCAGTTAGAGTGGATGGCCCCTTCCATTTGTGTCATGGTGCACCCACGATCCATGAGCCCTCTGCCTTCCTCTAGCAGTGGTTCATACCATGTGGGGGCGTCATCGTCCCGGAAAGCAAAATCAAAGCCAGCAGCCTGCAGGGGGCCGTGATGAACATGTACTGAGTCAGGAGCCCTACTTCGTCGGCATCGGTGTCGCCCTCGGCCAGCTCGCCTCCAGCGCAGACATAGTCCTCGTCATAGTAGGGGGCGGGGTCCGGCATTGGGCAGTTGGCGGCATCGAGCTGGGGCACAGAGAAGAGGACTGAGGAGACCAGGAGTACCTTGCCTGGTTGAGAGGCCCGATGCACACCGCGCCACCGTCGACGAGGATGATCGCAGCCGTGATGGCGGCCCCGACCTGGAGCCTGGGCGAGCCAGGGAATGGGCCGAGGACGTTGAGTTCCGTCTCTGGCAAGTGTTCGACAGGGATCATCTGTATACGTCTTCGCGCCCACCGCCGGCAAGAGGGAGATGCGGTGAACCTCATGGAAGGACGCTGAGAGGCTGAACGCTCCCGGCAAGGACGGCGACGTCGTCGGCACCGAAGTGGGGATCGGGAAGACAGGACTAGAAGGGAAAGTGGCCGGGGGCCAAGAGTTACAGAATCAATACGATATCTGGGCGACCCCCGTGACTACTCTGCCGTTACTATGCCAAGCGTACCGTGGACAGAGGAGATGACAGAGCAGCCCCATCCTCCTCATCACGACCGGCACCGAAGTCAAGGGGTGACCACCGATCTGTAGGGCCAGAAGGGAGGAGCAACAGCGGTGCAGGGAGCTCCACAGACCCAGCACCGATTAGGGTGTCCACACCGCTGACGAGGCACGAGGCAGCCGACTTATGGAGATATCTCCTTGGGCTGGATCGAACCTCCTGGCCCAACAGACGACCTGCTCTGTTGCCAGAGGGTTTGCAGAACGGTATCAGGGCCCATTTCAAAGAGATGAGCGAACACAACCGCCTTGTCATGACGTGCTGCTTCATTGAACTACTACGATACCTCGGCGGAGGTGTCTAACCTCATGCACGATGTCAAAAAAAACTCCGCAGCTGGGGGTTTCCTCTACACAGCAAGCCACTGGTGAATCAGCTCCCACCGTGCTCAGCCTCATGGACTTTGATGAGTATGAGTGGGTCCAGAAACGCTACGGGAAGGAGGTGGCTGAACTCCTCATTACACACGATCTGGTAGCTGAACAGGGGAATGACACCCTTCAGGCTGTCCATTGTGCCGGAGCTCCTGCTGAGCAACCTGGGGAAGATCCTGTACTTGTTGCTCCAGGGAGTGGAGCTGTAGCAGGTGACGGAGGGGAAGCCAGGGATGGCGAATCGGGGCTTGAGGACACGACGTTGCCGATGCCAGAAACTGCCAAGGAGGAGGCCATGACCCAGTTG